TGTGTGTGTGTGTGTGTGGGGGGGAAATCCAGAAATGTTGGGTCATTTGTGATGTTTAATTAGGTCAGTTAAGGACCTAATAGCTGATCAATGCAACGTATATCAACCTAGTTTAGTTTTTCTATGATTTAGTGCAGGATATCCAACCTTGGTAACTTTACAACTTGTGGACTTCAACTCTCAGAATTCCTCAGTTAGCTATGCTGACTGTGGAATTCTGGGAGTTGAAATCCACAGGTTTTAAAAGTTGTCAATATTGGATACTCCTGATTTAGTGTAGAATGTAAATCCAGACCTTCTAATTTACCCATCAATGTATGGCACAGATCCAAAATCTGGATTACCTTAATTTAATACGCAAATGTCAACAATGTAATCCTACAAGTTGAGATAATGGATTGTTTAAATAACCAAGTTAAGTTTGCTGTCTGAACCCAATCCCTGACTACTAAGCCTTTGTATACTTCAAGATCCTTCAGAGTGCCACTTGTGAAGAAGAGAATGTGGCTTTTATTGTTAAACTACAGTAAGCAGAACACCAAAATCTTTCCTGGTTCCTAAGATGGTGACCCTCAAACTGTGCAAAAGAGAGACACCATTGCTCATCTCACAAGCATCTGGATTCTGAGATGGTGACCTGCAGTACAGAAGATCGTTTTGGATTAATCTGCTCATGTCCAGAAATGCAAGCCATTTATTTAATCTGATAATAAGCACACTTCCTCATTCTGTTTCAAAGAAGACAAGACTCCTATTTTTGTAAGCCACCCAAACTCACTGAGAGGAGTGGGTGGCCGTGCAAATAACAAAGTTGGAAGGGACCTTAGAGATCCTCAAATCAAACCCACTGCTCAAGCAGGAGACCCTATACTCGTAATGGCACGCGGAGCCATTTGTTAGGGCACGTGAGGCATTGCCCTGCCAGATCCTGCGTTGATGCATGCGCTGGCCAGCTGACTTCGGCCTCCATTTTTGGCCATTTTTCGCCCTCCGGAGGCTTTCCTGAAGCCTCCGGAGGGTGAAAAACTGCTCTACAGGCAAATAGGAAGTTCAGGAACAGACTTCTGGGTTGCCAGTAGGGGCGTTTTTTGCCCTCCGGAGAGCCAAAAACGGCCCTACTGTCAACCTGGAAGTCCGTTCCTGAATTTCTGGTTTGTGCGTTGGGTTGTTTATCTCCCTCCGGAGGCTTCAGGAAAGCCTACGGAGGGCGAAAAATGGCCAAAAATGAAGGCTGAAGTCAGGTGGTGTGCTGGAGCTGACAAGGCAACGCCTCGCATGCCCTAACATATGGGTTCGCATGCCACCTGTGGCGCGTGTGCCATAGGTTCGCCATCCCAGCTCTAGGTGGTAGGGAGAAATAAATTAAAATTAAAAAACCCAATCCATTAAGTAGATTTTGAAGAAGCAGAAGAGAAATACTATTGATGCTCTTAAACTTTGGGATCAGAGAAGACTCACGAGAATACCAAACACAACCAAGAAAATAACAAAATGAATCACCAAATTAATCAAAAAAATTTATTTGCTTAAATTACCATACTTTGGATGCTCTCTTAGAATATCATAAGACATCTATAATTTTAAGTAAAATCAAAACGAACCTGATGTTCATTAATAACCTAAAGTCATATATGACTTGCAGGAATGTTTCTTCAAATAAACCACTGAGCCTTGGGGGCGCTGTGGTGAAAATGAAGTATTGCAGGCTAATTCTGCCCACTGCCAAGAGTTCGATTCTGACCAGCTCAGGGTTGACTCAGCCTTCCGTCCTTCCACGTAAAGTGAGGAGCTGGATTGCTGGGGACAAGAGGCTGACTGTAAAATCCTTAGGGAGGGCTATA